AGAGATCCACCTGGCTCTGCCTCCCAAGTGCTGAGATTAAAGGCATGTGCCACCACCGCCCGGCTTTAGTCCTTTTTTAAAATGTGATCTCATTGTGCTGCCCACCCTGCATCCATATATGTGCATGTGCACACACCACACACACACACACACACACACACACGCATGTGAAAGCCAGAGGTCCACCCGAGGGGGTCATTCCTCAAGTACTGTTCACTCCCTCCCCCAAAAGGCTTTCTCACTGAACTTAGAGTGCACAGGCTAGACCGCCCGGCCAGTGAGTCCCAGCAATCTGCCCTCTCCCGCTTCCTCCTAGCCCTGAGATGACAGCGTGCACCAACACACCCAGCTTTCCCTGAGGCTTCTAGACTGGAACTCAGCTTCTCACACCCGAGCCATCTCCCCAGCCCCATGCCCATTTCCCCACCTGCAGCGAGGACAGCTACAGAACCTGTCTCCTTCTGTACAGAACAGAGAGCGCTCAGGCGGCTGGCAGTTGCTATCCTCAAACGACCTGCCTGCCTTTCAGTCTCCTGGCATCTCAGAACTTGGGCATTCCACCCCTCCTTCCTATAGAAAGCAGCCTCCTGGATCTCTGTGAGTTCGAGGCCAGCCTGGGCTACAAACTGAGTTCCAGGAAAGGCGCAAAGCTACACAAGAGAAACCCTGTCTCGAAAAACCAAAAAAAAAAAAAAAAAGAAAGAAAGAAAGAAAGCAGCCTCCTTTACGTGACCTCCTGCTGTCCTTTTAGCCAGGGGGCTTTGTGACTGCACCCCCCGGGGGGGGGGGTTCCCAAGGGACCACCTTCCTCATAGGACTGAGCCCGTTAATGCACACCTGGGATCCTTGCTCTCAGGAGACAGAGGCAGGGGGATTGAAAACTCCAGACAAGAGCCTGTCTCATAAAACTAAAACCCCTGTGTGGGTGTGGTCTGGTGCCTAACGGGCTTCTCTGGTCCCGAACACCTCGCATCCTGTCACAGCCCATTGCTGGAGGAAACAGCGTGTCCTGTGTAACCCCAGGGAGGGGAGTCTGTTGCGTGTGGCCAGCTTCCTGCTGTCTCAGCCCAGTGCCTTCCCCTTGGCTGGCTTAACCTGTGTGGTACACACGTCCGCTTTCTTGCAGCCCTTGCCAACGAGGCGCCGACACGAGATGGTGTTGGGGACCCCTGCCATTGTCCTTTGCTTAAAACTGTCTCTGGCTCCCTACTACTGTAAATGGTGAAGAACAAGGCGTTCCCCTGGGCTCCCCGCTCTTCCTCCTGCTGCAGCTCGGCAGGCCTAGCTGGTCTCACCTGCCTCCTCCTGCTTAGCCACACTGCCTCCATTCAGCCTTTGTACTAGGCAGGTTAGTCTGGCCTCAGGGCCTCTGCACAAGCAGCTTCCTCAGGCCTGGAATACATAACCCCTCTCTCACACTGTCCTCTAGCTCTTCTTTCCTCTTTTAGGTTCCTTCCAAGTGTCCCAGCTCAGGGGTGCTGGCCAGCCCGCCCCCCCCCCCATCTCCTGCATCTCCTCTGTCACCCTCACGCCTGACTGAACACCCCAGGGTGCAGGCCTGCACGGGTTCCTGCTCACATCGTGACCTTCCAGGCCCGACAGGACCACAGGCTCCAAACCCAGGGACAGTGCCACAAACACCCCCGGGGGGCAGCAAGTGTCTCCCCATGAGAGGCCGCTGGGCGCTGTGAGCCCACCTGCCCCACCCCCACGCTGGCTCCGTGTTCTGAGGAATGCCTATTTATAAAATCAGGGAAGTCTGTAAATAGGCGTTGAAATCTTTCCTTCTTGAGGGTGGGGAGGAAGTTTGAGGTTTGCAAAAACAACCCCTCTGCGCCTGACTGGCTCAGGTGGGGGGTACTGGTGACCCGGGGTCTAGAGCTATATGCTCCTCACTCACCTTACCTTCACCTGGAGGGTCAGGGAGGGGCTGTATGGGGCAAGGACTTTCATACAGGCATGGGATGACGGCGCATGCTTCCCAGCTCTAGAACATCCACTAACTCGGGAGCTCTATACCGAATTGCCCAGAACAATGCCGCATCCCTACCACATGGGTCCAATTTGGCCTCATTTACCTATGCCAAAACCAAGAACAGAGAGGCCAAGAGACTTGCTAGAAGTCACACAGCTAGGGAGAAACAGAGCTGGACTGTAATCCAGCTGCCCGGTGGAGTGCCCCTTGCTTCCTACATGACCCACTGAGAATGTGGCCCGGGGATGCTGAAGCCCATGCTGGTGGGGGCCGGGGACAGAGGTTCCCCAGACAGAGGAATTGTCATACCTTACCCCTGGCACACCCTGACACATTACCCTAGGTGGGATCCCTCCTACTCTCCACCCTTTCCATTGCATTTCTAAAGGGCTGATGGCCGCCCTGTCCAAACAGGAAGTGTCCTGCTCCTCTCCCTAGAGGACAGAGAGGACGATGGTAGGGAATGGGAGACACATGTAAAGCCCGATACACCAGCCACACCACATCACTCGGTACCACAGGCTGGGCTGCATCACAAACAGAGAAAGGGCGAGTTCTCCATCTAGAAGTCAGCCTCATGCTGTCACCTAGGGGGCCAATGTGCCGTGACGCTTCAGCCATGGCGTCCACAGAGGAGAGGCCTCAGATCCCTCCCTTTGCTGTTCCCTTCTGGAATGAGCCAAGGAACAGGGAGGGGACATGCAAAAGAGAAATAAGGCACTCTCTGTCATCCAGACTGTGTCTCCAGCTACCCGAGAAAAACTTCACCCCAACAGAGCAAAGATGACCCACAGGGACAATGTGTGCTGTCCTGAAGACAGACGCCTGGACCGTGAACATCAAGGACAAGTGAATGGTGTTCACTCGGGGCCGGGGCGTGGGTGACTTCGAGCCTCTCCTGGATTAGCACCTGCTCGCATCCCTCAGCCTAAAGAGCGCACCCCACTTTTTTAAAATATGCAGCTATGAAGACACCCAAGTGCATCTCCCATAAGGAGCTGAAACCCGTGCCTTAAGGCTGTGTCTGTCCTCCTTCTATACAGACGTCTGTCTAAATACTTAATAAACTCCCTATCTATGTTTCAGTCTGACTTGTCCTGAAATTTTTCTTTTCTTTTTTTTCTGGAGCTGAGGACGGAACCCAGGGCCTTGCGCTTGCTAGGCAAGCGCTCTACCACTGAGCTAAATCCCCAGCCCCTGAAATTTTTCTCCATGCCACGGTCAAGGAGCTGGCTTTATCTGAGTGGCGCTTCCCAACAGGGAAGGGAGCCCTCAAGGCTTGTGTCCCCCCCAGTTTCACAGAGAGGCCCAGCTGCATGTTGGAATGACCAGGAAACATGCCTGCGGTGCTGGGAGTGGAACCCAGGGCCTCACGCACACCAGACAAAGCTCCCCGACTGAGCCACACCCGGGATCACCTGGGACACCACGGTCACACGGTCACACGCTCACAGCTCTTGAGCACCCTGTAAGTGCAGTGAGGCTGAGCGCCACAGGCCATGGCCAAGCTCAGTGCCTCCAGAGGAAGTGAGCCCGTGGGGTACCCCACCCCCGACTCTGCACACCTGGCTCCCCGAGCCCTGCAGATGGGCCAGGCACGTGCATTCATCTGAACTGCGGAATAAGGTCAGCAGAGGGTTACAAGCCCTGCTTGTCCCATCACGGAGTCAGCAGCTGGCGGCATAAGTGGCAGCTGTCCCCGGGTACCTGGCTAATGCCACAGATCACTATTAGGTATATTTATCACTGTACCTCTGTGGGCTAATGTTATTGCCCCCATTTCCCAGAATGGGAAACTGAGGAGCAGGAAAAGGAAGAAGGAAAAAGGGACTCTCAGGTCAGTGTCCAGACAGGTGGCCAGGCCCAACTGCCAATCAGGTCTGTGTAGTGATGCACATTCACCCCGCTTCTGCCCCCCCATGCCTGTGTTCTCAAAACCTAGGTGGGCCAGGGGCCAGCCACATGGTTCAGCAGGTACAGTACCTGCCACCAAGCCTTGGACAAGTTCAAGGCCATAAAGGTAAACTCTTCACGCAAGCATTCCAAAGCATGGTGTCCCAGGCCAGGCTCAGCCATGGCAGGAACATGCTATCTGACCAGACGAGGGCCAGTCAGCCACAAGGGGTCCTAGCCGGCTCGTCAACAATGGAGACAGCCCCTCTGTGGCCACAGCATGCCCCACCTGGCTCCGGTTCCCCCCAAGGTGTGTCCTAGCTGGGTTCTGCGTTCCAGTCCACTTCCCCTGCTGGCCCCACACCCTGACACGGGCTGGTGACAAAGCCCTCAGCACCTTATAATTCACCCCTGCAACTGTCCAGCTTCACTCGGATCCCCAGACTCACCCCCCTGGACCCCCCATCCTAGCTTCAGCTGTGGCTGCTTCCTCTTGGAACACACCTCTGCCTATATCGACGCTCACGGTCATTAGCCCAAAAACACACGAGCAAACCAAAGTGAGACCTGGGCTGGGGTCACCATCACCCCCACCATGTCACCTGCCTCCCGCCACCTCATGTCCCCCATCTCACTATCACCAAAGATTGAGGACAACGTCATCCCACTAGTTGTAGGTAGCAGACCCCTGCCTCGCTGGAGGCCAAGAACCTTCCCCAAGAGCCCAGCTCCTCGCTGTGAGTACCCACAGCGTCAAGTCTGTGACCCTGCTTTCTCGAGGCTGGACATCGAGGAATCCTTGCCTTGCTTGCTGGTCTCGAACTCACTGTGTAGCCGAGGGTGACTTTGAACTCTTGACCCTGACCTTCTCACTCGACCTCCTGAGTACTGGGATTATAGGTTTGCCCCACCACACCCAGCCAGGCTCTGACATCACGGTTCTTCAACTAGAAGTCAGGGTGTGCACGTGGAGCCGGGCTCCCCGGACACTGGGTTCTGTGAAACCCGGCGGCAGTTTCTCCTCCGTGGCTGCAGGCATGGCGCAACACCTGACGCTGGGGTTTCTCTCTGACCTGCGAGAAACTTCGGCAGGATTCTCCTCTCGCAGCGGGAACCTGCAGACACGATTTACCTTTTGGTCATTGGACGTCATTTTCCTGTCGTCTCCGGACCCAACAATGAGAGAACTGGAGGCTGACGTGTCACCCGGCTGTCACCAAGCGTGGCTTCGTTCGCAATCTGTCCTCACAGGTCAGTGTGAACAGCGTCTGAAAGGAGGTCACAAAACGTGTTGGAAGGGTACGATCCGGGAAGACAAACAAAATATTAATGAACACCTGCTTGAGCACTGGATCCATTTTCAGGCATCTGTGAGAGACGTAGTCACTGTGGCCAGTGAGGAGAACCAACTATTGTCTGTCCATAGGGGAATGGATAAAGAGTCACACAATGGAATACTATGTAGCCTTCAAAAAGGAAACACTAACAGTTGCTACAGTGTTGATGAGCCCTGAAAACACTACACTAAGGGCAGATGGCTAAATTCAAAATCTTGTATGCTGAGCCTGGCATGGTGGTATACCTGTAACCTGGCACTCAGGAGGCTGAGGCTGGGGGATTATGAGTTCGAGACTAGCCTGGAATGCAGAGTGAGGCCCTGTCTCAAAATTAAAAAAAGAAAATTAGGTTGGGTGTGGTGGCGCACGCCTTTAATCCCAGCACTCTGGAGGCAGAGGCAGGTGGATCTCTGTGAGATCGAAGCCAGCCTCGAACAGAGCAAGTTCCAGGACAGCCTGAGCAACAGAGAACCCCTGTCTCCAAAAACAAACAAACAAACAAAAAACAAAAAAGGGAAATCTGAGATGGTGAGATGGATGAGCAGGTGTAAAAGTGCTCGCCACCATATCTGACAATTTGAGTTCGGTCGCTGGGACCTTCCACCCCATGGTGGAAGGAGAGATCAGACTCCACAGGTTTCCCTCTGGCCTCCACACATGCGCTATGATACACACACACACACACACACACACACACACACACACACACACACACACACACACTTTGAAGAGAAATTCTGAGACAAGCTTGTAACATGTAGCCCTGGCTGTCCTGGATCTCGCTCTGTAGACCAGGCTGGCCTCAAACTCACAGAGATCCACCTGCCTCTGCCTCCCTAGCACAGAATTAAAGGTGTGCACCACCACCGCCAACAAATAATTTTCCTTTAAGACTTATAAAGCATGTGTGTGTGTGGGGGGGGTAATTGTGCGTGTGAAAGTAAGTGCCCTCACAGGCCAGACAGAGGTTCCCCTCAAACTGGAGTTCCATGTGGTCGTCAGCTGCTCAGCATGCTGGGAAACAAGCTCAGGTCTTCTGCAAGGGTAGCATACATTCTAGCTCTAAGCCATCTTTCCAGGTCCTGGCCCGCCCTTTAAAGGAAAACTTGGGGCCTTGGTAGCTCTTTGCTTTCTCTTTGGTTCTGGAATGACTATGTGTGACTTTTCTAAAGTATTTTTAACATAGGTGACAGAGGCATTTAGTAAAACTTTAAACCCTACAGACAGCTTTCTGCTGGTGAACCTGTCTCTACCCTGCGCCTCCTTCCCAGAAGCACCCACTCTGACCAGCAGCTCTGTGGCCTTCTGGGAGGTGACCTTTCTTCGCACGGAAGGGGTGTGCATACCGCCCCTTCACTCTCTTCTTACACACGTGTGAGTGGCGTGCTCCTCTCTCAGAACTGTTCTTATTTCCTTTTAGGGTGGAGTAGGTAGATGACAGAGTGTCCCCCCGAGCACCCAGGTCCTTTTCCCTCAAACCCAGGAGTTGGTTACTTGGTGTGTGCGCACCGTGATTACACTCAGGAGTGTGCAACAGGAGACTGCCCAGCTGGACATGCTGTCATCAGGAGGGTCTGTCTAAGAAGCAGAGGTGGGAGCGTGACGCAGCTGCCAACAGAGAGAAGCCTGAAGATGCTGAGTGGCTGCCACAGTGGAGGCTTGTGTGCTGTGTGCACTCATAAAAACTGGTGAGCCCAACCTAAGACAGAGCACCTGTGTGGCCTGGGCAGGCGTCTCCATGACGGGTAAGGTGACCTGCTGACGTCCCATGCAACCCAAGTCAGAAGCTCACTTTTTAATAAAAGGGGGACCTGCAGGGCTCTGGCCCCTGTTTTGGGTAACTGTTGCCTTGCTTGCGAACCTTGACCTTGATATCCTCCCTATGCTAATTCCCTGCCAGGTTCCACCCTCCTGAATGCTAAAGGGAAGTTCCTTGTCTGTGTATCCTGCATAATGGGCATTAATAGCTTAGATGCAAGATTGTAAAACATCAGTAGCGAACTTCTGCCCTCCGGGGTCCTCCCATTGTGCTGTAAGCCTGTATTTAATTACCCCCTTCAAGAAATGACATTTAAAATTAAATATATATATATATATACATATACATATACATATATATATATAATTGAATGAATACTGCAAATGTAATCTATGAATACCACAAATGTGATTAATATCATGAATGTAATTAAAAAACAAAAAACAAAAAACTGGTGAGTGCCTGGTGGTGGTGGTGGTGGTGGTGGTGGCGCATGCCTTTAATCCCAGCACTCAGGAGGCAGAGCCAGGCAGATCTCTGTGAGTTCAAGGCCAGCCTGGCCTACAAAGCTAGTTCCAGGAAAGGCACAAAGCTACACAGAGAAATCCTGTCTCGAAAAACCAAAAAAAAAAAAAAAACAAAAACAAAAACCTGGCTAGGACCCCTAGACCCACCTGGAGCCTCTGAGGCGGGGCTTGGAGGCCTCTCCGTTTGGACCATGGAAACTGCCTTTAGGCTTGTGACCCACAGAACTGTGAGATAATAGACGGGACTTTTTTGAACCACCAAATGTATAGTCCCTGCTGCAAACCGAGGCCACTCACAGTCCCGGGGGACCCCACTGTGGCAGCTCACTCTAGACGGAGGTGCTCACTCTGATGCCGGGTACTCCACTATGGGAATGCAGCGAGGCCGCTGGTGGCCACATTGGCTGTTTCGCATCCCCTTCCCATCCCAGAACCCTCCTGGGTAACTAACTCTGCATTGTGTGAGATTGTGCATTTTCCCGAATGTGAGCCAGGCCGGTATCGGGCGTCTTTCTCGATCTCTCTCCGCGTGATTGTTTTGTGACAAGCTCTCTCACTGAACCTGGAGCTGAGCAATTCAGTGAGCCTGGCCGCTCATGAGCCCACCGGCCATCTTGTCTCTATCGCCCAGAGCTGGGATTCTAGACATGTAGCATCACCGCACAGCTTTTTACATAAGAACCAGGGTCAGACGCGGGTCCTCGGCTGGCATGCCAAGCACTTTGCCAACCGAGTTCTCTCCTCACCACCCCGAGTTATTTTTTTTTCTAGCCACAAAAACAAAGTGTCATCAGTTTGAGGAAAATATTCAAAGAGTTAACCCCTCCCCAACCTGACTCTCCCCGGATCCCCTTCTTCTCTTCTGTGCTCTGCAGTCCAAACGGCTGTCAAGGGTCCCAGCAGCTTAGGGACAGTGGGGTTCCGCTACGTGCTCCCACACAGGCAGGAGCTGGGCTCCGTCTTCACAGCCGCAGGTGAAGGGCCAGCGAGATGCGTTAGCTAGTAGAGGACCTTGCCGCCAAGCCTGACGACCTGAGGTGGGTCCCCAGGAGAAAAAGCAACTCTGGCAAGTTGTCCTCTGACCGCCACATGTACACTGTGTCAAACACACACGCACGCACACACGCACGCACGCAAACACACAAAGTATAGTTAAACAACCAAACCTGCTGGTGTGGTGGTGCACACCTCTAATCCCAACACTCAGGAGGCAGAGGCAGGCGGATCTCTGTGAGTTCGAGGCCAGCCTGGTCTACAGAGTGAGTTCCAGTTCAGCCAGGCAGGACTGTTACACAGAGAAACCCTGTCTCGAAGAACAAAACACGCAAACAACTTCCATGTAGGTCAAAGGAAGCTAAAGAACCCTTGAGATTTCCTTTGTTTTCGAAGAAACAACTAACTCACACACAGAAAAACATTGGCCTCACCAACTGAGGACAGAGGGTTTCTTTCTTTTTTTTAAAATGTATTTATTTATATTTTATGTATGAATGTTCTGCATGTTTACCTATATGCAAGAAGAGAGCATTGGATCCTATTACAGGTGGTTGTGAGCCACCATGTGGTTGCTGGGGATTGAACTCAGGACCTCTGGAAGAGCAGCCAGGGCTCTTAACCTCTGAGCCATCTCTCCAGATCTGACAGAGGGTTTCAAACTCCTAGGTCTTCCACAATAAACTAGCCAGAACAAATAAAAATGGTAAAACCTAATGCCTGAGTGGCTATGGAGAAACCTCACCGTGGCTGGAGAGACGTGTGACCTAGACAGACACCTAGTAACAGGGACCAGCACCTTCCAAACGGCTACATCCTAGACTTGATCACTGTGCCTGCGAGCCGATCCCAAAGGACTCCCTGGCACATCCATGGGCAGCAGTGTTCTAGCGAATGGTGTGACTGACCCCCCAAGACCTGCATGGGAGAAGCTGAGAGCCACACACACGCGGGGAGGAAGGACACACTAGGGTCGGGGCAGAGGTGGAGAAAGCAGGCCATTGAGCAACCAGAACTGATAAATGTGACCCAAGTCTGTGCTCATTGCTTGCAAAGATATGGGGCCATTTGAGCGTTTCCTCCGTGCTAGGCACTGAGGCTGGGTTCAGGGAGCACAAAAGGACGAAGCCTGGAGATGACAGGCAGCCCAAGGACAACACACAGTGCTGAGGCCACACTCCCCGGCCTCCCTGGAGGGAAAAAATTGAGAAGAACAAGAGGAGAAGCCTGGCTCTTTCAGGTGGAGTGGCCGGGCTCCTGAGGAAGTGACACAGGGACCTCCTGAATTTCAAGAAGATTGTGGGGCCGGACAAGAGTCCCAGTTAAGAGGAAGGTCCTTTGACAGGAAGAACTTAAGAGGACAGAGTGGGGAATGGGCCGAGAAGCAGGGCGAGAGATAGGAATTAAGATAAATTGTGGGGCCTGGGAGGTGGTGGCACACGCCTTTAATCCCAGCACTCGGGAGGCAGAGGCAGGAGGATCTCTGTGAGTTCGAGGCCAGCCTGGGCTACAGATCCAGGACAGGCACCAAATCGACACAGAGAAACCCCATCTCTTTGAAAAACAAAACCAACAAAAAAAGACAAATTGTGGGAAGGAGGGTGGGATGGGGGGATCTACTATGGCTCCCAGCTTGTGAGAAATGCTGAGGAGTTGGGGATTCAAGAGTCACAGCGGGGGACATCACAGGGAGAAGCAAGGGGGGCGGAGGTCTGGACTTGGGCGTCACAGAACTTGTGGCTGGCCTAGATGGAGTGGGAGTTAGGAAGAGATGATGGAAACCCCAGCCACGGGATGGAGAGGCTGGGAAAGGAAGTCTGGGGACATGAACAGTCCGGGCTTCCTCCTTGCTAAACCATGGCCAGGGGCGGCGGGTTGTGGGCCAAAGGAAGCTCTGGAGTTGGGTAAGTCTTAACGTGGAGATGTTCAAACCCTGCCTTGACCAGCCTTTCTGCCAGGGGAGCCCTGCAGGCAGAAGTTGCTGTCCCCAGCCAGACTCTGCCTTACTCAAGAAACCTCAAGTGGCTGGTGGGCGGTGAGGAAACGCTACAAAGCTTGGAGAGTCCCCCGCCGGCCTGAAGTGAGGTGACCAGGAGCCAGAAGTGCTTTCAGAGGGGCAAGGCGAAGTGGAGAGACACAGAATAGCTCCCAAGCGACCCTTTGCTAGATGGGGTGCCCCCCCCCCCCGCCCCCAGTGATCTCAGCAGTCCTGGGAGGTAGGCACCACTCGGAACGCCGTGGAGGCAGGAAAGGACACCAAGACACAGAGAGGCACAGTCCCACAGCTAAGGTGTAGAAAGCCCTGTACCCAGTGGGCACAGGTACTAGGTAAAGGTGGGGGACACGGGGGTGATGCAGACTGCTCTCCGTCTTATAGTGTATACCCTGGCCCCAGCCCACCCACCATTCTTGTTCCTTCCTGAACGCAACAGATGGGGGTTCAAGTTGTTCCCAGCAGGCGCTGCTGAGTTGGGATTCCTCCGGCTAGGATGCCCCGGTGGGCTGGCTCACTACCCCGACCCCCTTCCCTCCTGCTGTCCCCCTGGAGTGGCTGTGGGGGTGGGCTCTGGGACGGGGAACAGGGCACAGGGGCTTCACACCCACCTGCTGGCAGGGCTTGCTGAGTTGGGGGCGCCTCCTTGGCTGGCTCTGTCCACCTGCCGGAGCGGGAACACTGCTATCTCCTCCACCGGTGTGTGTGGGTGCGTGTCCGAGGTAGGGCGGTGGACCCTGGTAACACCCACTAGGAGAGGAAGTGCTTGTCAGTGCCCCATTCCCCAGGGAGGATCAGCGGGGTGGGCAGTCACAGTCCACAAAGCAGCACGGGACCTCAAGTCACCCCCACGGCGCCTGGTTTGCCCCCAACACCCCCAGCCAGGCCCCAGCCAGGATGGACAAAGGTCCGGCCTAGGAGCAGCCGCGAATCTCGAATCACGAGGATGGAGGGGGGCCAGGGCTTTCTTCCTCCCTGCAGGCCCCTAGGCCGGTCTGCAAAAAAGCAGCAGCCACTTTTTGCAGGGCAGGACACCCTCAGCCTGAGACGCGGCTGAGGCCGGAGGGAAGAGGGGAGCCCCGGCCGGCCGGCCCCAGCCCGGTCCTCGTTACCTGCTCAACTCTCTTCTCCTTCTAGGGCAGAGACTCACGCACACCCCTTGCTCCGCGGAGCCCAGGGGGCGGTCCCATGTCCTCGGGGGTGTGGTGTGGCGGGAGTTTCCGCAGCTGCTCTAACTTGCTGCAACCTCCAAAGGGGAGGTGTGGGGGGGACCAGTGCCCTCCCACACAGCTGAGAGGCCCCCAACTCTGAAGCGGCTCTCCAGTGACAAAGACCAGGCTATGCACAGAGCTTGGGACTCCTCTGCTGACTGCGTACTCCCCTGACCCCCGAGGGCCTGCCTCCCCAAGGACCACCTCCTCCCTCCCTCCTCCAAAGCCTCTGTGCTTCCTGGAGGAGATGCACTCCCTAGCTGGATTTAGGGGGGTGGGGGGATTGATACAAGAGCAGATTAAAGCAAAAAGTTTTTGGGCCCAGGGAGACAGTCCCAAGAAAAGTCAGGCCAGGAGAAACGTATTATATAAGCTGGGAAAGGAATGACCGCACCCATGTTCTCTGGGCTGGGCGCGGGGTAAAGGGGGGGATCACTGAGAGATGTTGTATGTGAGCCTGCTTGGGGGGGGGTATCACTAAGAGATGGATGTGAGTCTGGGGGGGGGGTATGGGGGGGTGACACTCAGGAAGGAGTGGGTTTCCTAGCATACTTATTTCCAAAATGGAAACCATGCTCCAGGCTCTCCAGAGCTCCAGCCCTTCATGGCTCCTGCGTATGAGACCCTAAAGCCTTTTTTCCCACCTTACAGTTCCAGCGACCTCAGCTTCAAACAACCAATATGTCAATCCGGCCTAACTGAGCGGGTCATCTACAACACTTGTTTCATTGTAAGCACCTGTAGGTTGTGAGCTAGTCTTCGCCCACCTCCCCCCAGACTCTCAGACCCTCGTCTAAGGGACCACCTCAGAGCTGTGGTCTGACATCGGCCGTGGGTCCTGCTGGGAGTTACAAACGGTCCCGGACAGGAGGTGGCTTCCTGCTACTCATCCTCCAGCTCTGGCCTCTCTGGCGGACTCCCTGCTGTCTTCCCTTTAGCTCTCAGCTTTACAGGACCTAGAATCCCCCTGGGCAGAGAGTCTCGAGGAAACTTCTAGATCAGGTTGTCTGCAACTATGTCTGGAGGGGATTCTTAATTGTTAGCTGGTGTGGGAAGACCCAGCCCATTGTGGGCGGCGTCATCCCCTTGGCAGGGGTCCTGTGCCACACGAGAGAGGAGAAAGGTAGCAAGAGAGGAGGCAAGGAAGCAAGCAGGATTCATGAGTTAGTCTCTCTCTACTCTTGATTACTGGCATGAGGCATTAAATTCCTGCCCTGATGTCCCTACTATAATGTGACTGGAATTGTGAGTTTTTTTGTCAGTGTCTTTGTGACAGAAACAGAGATGAAACCAGATCACTGTATAAATTAGTAACTGGGCGATGAACACCTGTGATCGCTGCTGCTATTCAGCACTGTAAAAGATCCAGGTCCCGCCGGGCGGTGGTGGCGCACGCCTTTAATCCCAGCACTCGGGAGGCAGAGGCAGGCGGGTCTCTGTGAGTTCGAGGCCAACCTGGTCTACAGAGTGAGTTCCAGGACAGGCTCCAAAGTTACACAGAGGAACCCTGTCTCAAAAAACAAACAAACAAACAAACAAACAAACATTGCAGCCAAAGCAGTTAAGGCAAGAAACAAGGATGGTCGAAGATTAAAGAGGGAAGCTGTCCTCTGACACCATTGTGATTCCCTGCCTGGAAAATCCCACAGACAGCGGACGGATGCCTGGTCCTTGATAGACACTCAGGGGACAGCGACAGAACAACTTCAGTTCCTGTAGAACTCGCACTGGAGTTGGGTGGAGAGGCAAGGCCACCGATCGGTAAGATGGAACATCCTGCACCCACAGGAAGAGTTCAAGTGGCCCGTGGACTTAGGCGGGGAAATGCATCTTTATGTCTATTAACTTGTGGTAAGCAGCAGACCAGATTTGCCTTCACGGCACCAATACCACCATTTAAAAATACCACCATTTAAAAATCACAACAGTGAGTTCGAGGCCAGCCTGGACTACCAAGTGAGTCCCAGGAAAGGCGCAAAGCTACACAGAGAAACCCTGTCTTAAAAAACCAAAAAAAAAAAAAATAAATAAAAATCACAACAGAGTCAGGCAGTGGTGGTGTACACCTTTAGTCCCAGCACCCGGGAGGCTGCGGTAGGCAGATCTCTGAGTTCGAAGCCAGCCTGGTCTATAGAGCAAGGACTATACAGAGAAACCCTGTCTCAAAAAATTAATAATAATAATAATAATAATAGATAAATATATTTTTAAAAAGATTTTATTTATTTATTATATATACAGTATTCTGTCCACGTGCCAGGAGAGGGCACTAGATCTCATTACAGATGGTTGTGAGCCACCATGTGGTTGCTGGGAACTGAACTCAGGACCTCTGGAAGAGCAGCCAGTGCTCTTAACCTCTGAGCCATCTCTTCAGCCCTGGTAAATATCTTAATACAACTTCAAAATACTACTTATCATAGTAGTTAAGAGTAGCTGTGGATTGGAGTTTCATCCTTCGGTTTGCTTATGACAGGGTTTCTCTAAGTAGCCCTGGCTGTCTTGGAACTTATATGTAGCCCAGGCTGACTTCAAATGCACAGAGATCTGCCTGCCTCTGCCTCCCGAGTGCTAGGGCTTCTCATGCCTATTGTTTTAATATTTGCATTTCCAGGTCACTTTGTGCCTGGAGAGAAGAACATTGCTCTGAGCAGAGGCCACAGTTTGCAAACGCTTCGGAACTGTGCGATTCGATAGCTGATCGGTTCGCTACTCAGGTCGCTGCCCCCGCGCATCATTCACATGTCTTCCCCAGCCTGCCTGGGGGTCGGCCACGGTCTCAGTAGCTCTCTCTAGGGGTCCTGCCCTCCCTCCTCCCGATGCTCATAGGGCATGTCAAGGAAGATGTGAACTCAGTCCTTGGAGGATGTGTCTACTTCAGAGCTCTTCCGTCTCCCCCAGCAGGAAGAGAAAGCTGCCTCTAAGTGTTCACATGTCTCCGGTGCTTCCAATTGAGGCAATCCACCACTTCCCTTTCCAGAGCACAAGCCAGGTCCCAGCTCTGGGAGCACATGAGAAACTGAAGAGAGAAGTGGATGAGGTTTCAGCCAGGGGTGGGTTTGGGTTTCCCAGACTTACATCTGTTGTCTGGGCCCACTCCGTGTGATTCACTACCAGCTGTGACAGCCCCATGACCATGTCTGTGTGACGCTCGGGGACCTGCGTGGGATGACACAGCATGGCTGGGCCTGGGAATGGAGCTCGGTGGGAGAGCACTTGTCTAGCATGTGAGGTCCCTGGGTTCGATCCCTGGCACCACCAAAGTGAGCGGGATGACCCCCATTCTCTGATGCTGACTGACTTCTGCCATGTTGTTCAGAATGCTGTGGAGGAACAGGACAGCAGTTGGCCTCAGGGAGGCCTGGGTGGGGCTCAATCCGGCCTCCATCCTGCCCATGCTAGCTGGGCAAGCGATCTTTCAACAAATAGTCTCTGAGTGTCAAAACAGCGGAGGCCAGTGGGTACCACGTGTCTGCATCAAGCCTGCTCTGTACAGAGAGACACAGCAAAAGCCTTGAAAAAGGAAGGATGCGGGGAGCTCATGGCAGAGCGTGGCAGAGGTGGGGATGGAGATGAGGACCGTCGAGGCACGGAGGTCAGGAGAGGGCTCTCGCCGGGCGGTGGTGGTGCACGCCTTTAATCCCAGCACTCGGGAGGCAGAGCCAGTCGGATCTCTGTGAGTTCGAGGCCAGCCTGGTCTACAGAGCGAG